AATAAAGTGACCCTGTCATCCAGTCCCAGCATCTGGTAGTCAACAGTCCAAGGACAGTCAGAGCATGGGGTTACATTCCTGATTCTCTTGGCTAATAGCCATTGATGGACCTATCCTATTTCAGTGGAGCAGGCAATGAGTTTGATTCAATTCCCATGGGAGTTTACAGGGTTGCATCTACACTAAACTCTTCTCACCTCAATTTCCACATCAGTACAGATGCACTAATAGTGGGAATGGCATGAACTGTCATGTACAACGATCACTGGTGTTAGGCCACTCGGGTAGTTTACCCCTGCCTAGAGCAGATCTATCATATATGACACAAACTGAAAATTCTTAATATGTCTGTACCTTATTCGTAACTAGATCACTCAGGGTCTGTCTAGACCATAGGCTTTTGTTGACAGAGGCTTTGTCGACAGATAAGGTGTGTCTAGACTACAGGGTTTTGTCGACAAAAGTGGACTTTTGTTGAAAAAACTATACCTGTGTCTACACTGCCGCTGAGTTCTGTCGACATAACGTCGACAGAACTCAGCAGCTTTGTCGACAGCTGTAAACCTCATTCTACGAGAAATAATGCCTTTTGTCGACAGAGTTCTGTTGACAGAAGCCATTATTGAATCTACACCGTCCTTTTCGTCTACACTGTCATGTTGACAAAGCGGCTTGCTTTGTCGACAGGACTGGATGTAGGCTAGATGCTCTTTGTTGACAGAAGCTTTGTCGACAGTATCTGTCGACGGAACTTCTGTCGACAAAAGCTTGTAGTGTAGACATACCCATACTGTCAAAAAAGCTTCTGTTGACAAAGAGCATCTAGACTACATCCAGTTCTGTCGACAAAGCAAGCCACTTTGTTGACATGAGTATGTCGACGCAAAGGACAGTGTAGATGCAATAACGCCTTCTGTTGACAGAACTCTGTCAACAAAAGGCATTATTCCTCGTAGAATGAGGTTTACCGCCATCGACAAAACTGCCGAGTTCTGTCGACAGAACTTGGCAGTAGTGTAGACGCAGATATAGTTTTGTCAACAGAAGTCCACTTTTGTCGACAAAACCCTATAGTCTAGACACACCCTCAGTGTTTCTATATGTCTGATGGTAAGGCTATGGAATTTGAAAAAGGGGGGGTTGCCAGACCTAAGAGTTTTTCTATTGACTTCAGTATAAAGAGGACCAAATCCCTTTACTGTAATCTTAGGCAATTAAGTTCCTATGTATTATTAAAGCAGAACATCAAGAATTCTGGTCAAAATTATGGCACAAAAGTGCATTATAAATGTGGACCCCTGTTGCCTACGCAGATGTAAGGGTCCATTATGTACCAAGCAGTTGGTGGGAGAGGGCCCTTCAGCATTACCCTCAAAACTCTCCTAAAATCTAGTTTTTGAGTGGAAGCACCAAAGTTCTGCTCAAACATGGTTTTAGATATTATTAGGACTTTTCTATTTGCCATAATAGGAGACTTCCTGGAGAAACACCAGCAATAAATCCCATCATTTAAACATGCCTCATGTCTGGTGAGTTTGGAGGTCTGAGTTCTGTTTCCACTGGATCAGTCTGCATAGCATTAAAATCTTTCCATTTGTGAATGCTGCAGGTTGCACCTCCCTGGTCTGGCGCTCTTTGGAGCTGAAAGGTCCTGGACCAGGGAGTTTGCTGGACCAGGGAAGGTCAGTGCTCCCTTGCAGGCTGTCCTATTCCCGGGCTTCTCTCCCTGGGGCTCCCTGCCCTGCTGCTGGCCCCACTAAAGCTGGCCCACCACAGCTCCCCACAATCTTCTGGGGTTCCTAATGGGCCCCTTGGCTGCTGCTGGTCCCAGTGCTGCAAGGTGTTCTCTGAGGTTCCCACCTGGATCCACCCAGTGCCACCACCCTGCTGCCACCAGGGGTTCCCCACCTGGGGCTGCTTGGCCACCCCACCCCTCTGTTGGGACTGTCTTGCTGCTGCTGGGGATTCTGGTCACCCACCTCCACCAGCCCTGCTTCAGCCAGGGCTTCTCCAGTGGAGGCTGCTCAGTCATCCCAGCCCTGCTGCCACTGGGGTTTTTTCAGGGTTCCTGGCTGGGGCCACCTGGCTGCAGGCAGCCCAGCTGCAGCTAGGGGTTCCCTGGCTGGGGTTGGGACTCCCTGTCCACGTGGCCCTACTAATGCTGAGTTTTTCCCGGCTGGGGCAGGAGCTCCCCAGTCACAGCCTGGCCTCACTGATGCCTGGCTAGAGATGGGGCTCCCTGGTCACCATCTGGCCTTGTTGATGCTTGGGGTTCTGTACTATGGTAGGGGCTCCCCAGATGCTGTCTGGTCCAGCTGGGGCACCTTTATCCAGAAACATTCCTGGTCCTACTGGACCACAGATGTTGCCAGACCAGAGAGTCCCAGATTTTAGAGGTTCAAGCTGTAGTTGGCTGCCTCATCAGGAAGGACAAGGATTGCTTCAGCTATGTAGACCAAACTGACCTCTCACACCTGGAGTTGATTTTTCCAGGTCAGTGTTGAGGAGACCTTTTAAAACATTGTTTCATGTCTCTAAAATTACTGAAGCCAACATTTATTTATATTTTTAAAGAAAAGGTGTTTATGTGAGGTTAGTGCTTGTGAAAGAATATTGACCCACATGCTAAGATACTGATGGCCTCAGAACAGAGAAACAACACAAATAGCACCAGTGTCTTTAAAGACATGAGACAATGTTATAAAAGTCCCAGGAAATCTCTGTTCTAAATCTCTGTATCTGAAGCCCTATGCAAAGAACGAGTTTCTATTTTAATGCGGGAGAGGGGTGAAACTGCTCATCAGTTATTTTTATGGCAGGATGTGAGGAGACCTCAGGAATTCCTAACATATCAAAGATAAGCAAATTAGGCAATTTGAGGAACCTTTGAAACAATGGGTTCTACATGTGTTTTACATACCCCACTTATAGCTGAAAAACCTAGCCTATGGGGGTAAAGAGATCACAAAAATCTCAAATTATTATCCTTTGAAACATTACCCACAAATATAATATGCACTCCCTCATGTGAAAGTTATACGATTGCTAACAGACTCAAACCAAGAGAGAAAATGAAGGCTTTGATCATACTTCCCGATATAGTTATTGAAGAAGGCAGAAAACAATTTGTTATCAAGATGCCTGAGATTCTGTAGCTCATTTATACTAAACAGATGTATTATTTATAGGTTATGAGGTAAAGCACAACTTCTTCCTGCAACAAACAGCTTCACAGTCTGAGATTTTTAACATATCAATAATTAAGCAGTATTTCTATCTAGAAAGTAGGTTTGATTTTTATTCATAAAAGCATAAATTGTAATGAACACAGAAGTATATTAACAGTACACAAATGCAGCTGTCTTCACATTAGGTAAAGAAGGATAGTAATAACAGTTGAAAATGTGTGAAATGCTCATTTTCTGATACACAGATAAATCAATATTGACATATTAATGCACACTGACGGGACAATATATAGTAAGCTGATTTTTTTTTATTCCTGTATTATCACCATAAAACCTTTGCTGCATTCCTAATGGAAAGGCTTCAGAGCCATTAGTGAGATATGCAAAAATATGCAGAATTATAGCCTGAAGGAGATTATGCTAGAAATTCAGGCAAAGTAGCTTAACATATTCGTGCACTAATAAGTCAGCCTTCTGAATTCAAAGATTTAAACTTTAACTCTACAGCTTTCAGTTGGATCTGGATTTCAAATCACAACATGAGAGCTACAGTTCTTAAATCTTAATTAGCTTGGCAAGCAGTCTGGCCCCAGGGTAAAGGAAAAACCAGAAAGTGGGATAGAGCAGCACACTGTTTAATTCAACAAGGGAAGAGGAGGAAAATTATAGGTACTGATGCTTCATCACTGTCACATTCCTGCCTCCATCAGTGGGAATTGCAAGGTATTTTCAGAGCTGCAATGTTTAGATAAAGAAGTAAAATTCTTAGAACTTGTAAGGCACAGAGAGGTAAGATAAAAATAAGTGGTGCTACATTAATATGTCCCCAGTGAGCAAGTGTACTCTTTAGGTATATCTAGAAATTCATGCTTTCACATAAAGATCAATGACTGAAGAGACAAACAATATTTTTAATGAGCTATATAAGATCATACACATTTGAGTAATCAATAGAGGCAAATCATCATGGATGTAGTATGTTACGTCCACGTCCACTGTCAATATAAAGGAAAGTTTGCAGATGCCTCAGAATTGGTTCATAATGTTTATATAAAAAAACAGCTTTTTCTCAGAAAACTCCATGACTACTTGTCTTTCATTAACAGCAAGTTTACTAATTCATCAGATTCAGTGGAATAGTTTAGAATGAATTTTCAGGCCTCTCTTTGTTGATCCCTGTTGTAACTTTTTTAGGCATGCAAAGAATAAGGAATGGTGAAGAAAAGGGTGACTGAATTGATAAATATCTTCACTGAAAGGGAACAATTATTAAACCAAACATTTTGAAATGGGTACAAAATATATGTTTCCCTATATGTACATTTTGTTCAGTCTACAAATAAACTCTGTGCTGATGTAGCCATGCTTATTCTGAAAAGTGTTTCTACTTCCATGCATTCATCAGTACACACTTTTACACAGCCAAATATCTAAAACATTCCAAGATAACATTTACTTTTTATACTGTTCCAAATATACTAAATATAGTGTATCATTTCAAAGTTGAGGGCTTTCCCCCTTTTTATGTAATAGACTTGCTTTCCCAATAGAGTGAACTTTTCATGAAAGACAGCATATAATTGAGTTTTCTTTCATGTCTTTAAAGCTTTTTAAAATTCATGGATTTTCTTATCATTTTGCAGCAAAGCAAAAGTATTTTCAAATCCTTCTTTAACTTTAGAGTTTAATATTAACATATTTTAAATGTCACAGAAATAGAATGGAATACATTTTTGCTTAAAAAGTATTCAAATTATGATGTATTTTAATATAATAAACAGATTGGTTTCATTGTTAAATATGTTTGGTTACCTGTCACGGAGCTGTCTAGATTGTCCATACTGGATCCTGGAGTATGCTCTAGACCTCTTAGTGGCCTAGTGATTTCTATAGCTTCCTCTTCGATATCCTCTTCATCGTCATCTGGAATGTCTGTTTCCAAATCTGAAATAAGGGTTCCAGCTACATATCCAAGTGGTGGAACTGGGGCCAGAGGAGGCTGACTATTGCTTTGGATGTGCCTATACAAACAGACAAACAGAAATGCTGTTGGGCTGAGTAGAAAACATTGATTTGGTGGGCCGATGAGAAAAGAGACAAAATGTCCAGTATCGCCTGAATGTATTTACAAAGTTGTTTCTAAGTTACTTACCCCAGAAAAGTTGAATCTCATATCTATCTCAGGTACATATATGGTACCCATTGTCATGGTATGTGAACACCATCTTTAATATTTTCCTTACTACAATCTCAGAGGTGTGGAGAACTGTTATTACCCTCATATTAAAGATGGGAAACTGAAGCACAGAGAGATTTAGTGAGTTGCCCCAGGTCACATAAGAAGTCTATGGCAGAGTAGGGTCTCCTGGAACAAACTGCTGGCACATTCTCTCTCTCAATACAAGCCAAAAGCTTTTAAATTCAACTTGAACTGCAGGAAGAGGACATTTTCCCCTCCACCCAAACTAGAACTGAATTCAGCCTGAAGAGCACAGAATGGTTTCCATGAGACCAGTTGTCAGGTAAAATGGATTGTAAAATGGGAACCCCAGTGTCATGGGAGTCAGGCAGTCAGAGAGCCCCTGACAGCTCAGCTGGTGGTGGCCAGGGAACCCTCAGCAATGGTGGGGCTAGGCCACAGCAGTGGGGTTGGCGGCAGCTGAGCAGCCTGGGGCTGGGAAACCCAGAGGAACCGCTGGAGACAGAGGGGCTGGTGTCCGCCAGGCAGCCATGGCTGGAAAACCCCTGGTGCAGCCATCAGGCAGCAGGGTGGGGAGCCTCAGCTGGGCTGGCTTTAGTGGGGCAGCGGAAGGGCAGGGTGCCCAAGCCTTGAGAGTTCAGGGAAAGGAGCCATTAGCGGGGTAGCCAGCAGGGGAGCCTTGACCTCCCTTGATCCAGCAAATTCCCTGGTCTGGGATAGTTCAGGTACGGAGGGTGCCAAACCAGAGCGGGTCAACCTATAGTATGGAAAATGTCAGTGTATGTGTTATGTACAAGAGTAAAGGAAGTTTAGTATTTTTTTAAATTATTATTATTGTTGTTGGTATTTGTACAATGCTTTAGGGGTTGACTAGAATCTGAGTGCTTTTATCCTACTTTAAGAACCATCTCCTTGGATAGATTCTAATTTATATCCTCTGCTGTACACAGAATGCAAAGGAAACTTCGCTCCTTAAAGTGTATGTGTTATGTACAAGAGTAAAGGAAGTTTAGTATTTTTTTAAATTATTATTATTGTTGTTGGTATTTGTACAATGCTTTAGGGGTTGACTAGAATCTGAGTGCTTTTATCCTACTTTAAGAACCATCTCCTTGGATAGATTCTAATTTATATCCTCTGCTGTACACAGAATGCAAAGGAAACTTCGCTCCTTAATTTAACTCTTGACAAATAGTGTGGTTATACCTCAGTGCAGCAAAGAATGTAAGTATGTGAACAGAACCATTGAAGCCAATGGAATTTCTCATGTGCTTAAAGTTAAGCAAGTACTTAAGTACTCAGCTAGGTCAAGCCATAATGATTACGAATTTTTCTAATAATCTCCAATGCATTATCCCCTAAGTCTCCAGTTAGTCAGTCCCTGAGTTTCCCCTCCCAAAATTCTTGCAGTAATATATCTAATTCCTTTTTATCTCCTTGATTTTCTTCCTCTGTGTTCAGAACAATAGTTTTATGGGAAGAAAATTAAGTGACAGACCTTCCTTTTTAAAGGTATAATCTGACTCCTATTTAAGTCAATGGCAGATCAGTCCCTAAGACAGAAGGAAACAGAGTTATACAGTAGCAAATCACAGACCAGCCAAGTGTCACAAACATAGTAAAATCACCTATCTTTAACTGAAGCACTGTAGATTTATTATACTGACAGGTTTCTGGCTACTAGTTTCGAGAGTGAATAAGAAAACATGTTTATTTCCTATTATAGGTGATTGTTCCAAAGTTTCAAGCTCAATTAATGTGGCCCTTCACACAACCGATTTTGAAATCTGTGAACCGTATGTTTGTTATGGAAAATCATGATTGATTTTCTGCAGCAGCTCTAATAAGGGGAGCAGGACCCAGACTCTTAGAAGTAAGCTGCTTTCTTTAATAATCTGTTTGAGAGGGTGCTGTGACAGGCTGTTGGAGGATTCTCAGAAGCTGGTTGCCTTTTAACTTGGCTGTTTGCAATCTGTGAAGTGGGTCATGGTTGGTTAGCATGGTAGAAAGCTCAGAATTAGTCTCCTGTCAGAGGAATAGGTCTCACAGGCTATGTTTAGACTGCAGGCATCTTTCGGAAGAATCTTTTTTTCAGAAGAGATATTCCGAATGAGAGCATCCACACAAAAAAGTGTATCGAAAAAGTGATCTGCTTTTTCGAAAGCTAGTGTCCACACTGAATGGACGCTATCTCCCATTTAAGCTGTGATTACTATGGACAGAGTGGCCATCAGGGCACCTGTGCTTTTCCCTCTTCTTTTGAAAGAACTCCCTCTTCCCCATCAACACACACCATTTTCCAAAAGAGCTCTTTCCTTATAGAAAGAGGATTACCAACGCCAGAAAAACCCCTCTATTCTTTCGATTTACTTTGGGAAGAACGCGATTGCAGTGTGGACGTAACTCTGTAGTATAGACATACTCACAGTGAACTGACTAAGGAGGCTAGGCCTCAGAATATGCAGTAGGTCATACTGACTGCAGTTGAACAGGCTATATAAAGGAGACGTGGATTGGTGGATAGCAACATTCCAAAATGGCCTTCCTAACCCTTAATAAGAAATTGTGCACTTATTGAGCAGGAAAAGAGATTTCAGCCTCCTGGCTGAAGTAAGCAATTTTGCCTGCTTGCTGGTATAAAATGGCTTTTAGGTGGCATGAGAGAATTAATTTTTGGTTCATGTATATGGGTTATGGGTATGACATATATTTACATGTGTGCATTTTTATAAGCTTAAATCAGGTGGATGACCCTACCCCAAAAAAGCATAGATGTAAACATACAATTCACCATGTCATCTGCCATCAGAATGGCACCTGCTGTTTGTAGGCCACTGGAAGTATTACAGCTGCAAATTACAGCTTAGTAGGTTTCACAGGCAGGGCACACATTTCTGTGCTCATTTGAGTCAGATAATGGAATGGGCCAGAATTAGCTACTGCATGGGATTTGGGCCAGGCTCATGAGCAAACTAGAGGGCTATACTAGGCACAGTGGCACTGTAGTAGGGCCTAATTATCCTGTTGATTGAATGCAGCTTGCAAATAGTCCTAGAGACTTCCAAGGGAAAACAGCAGGCTTTGATTTGGCATGGACTGTGTACCTGTCTGTTCCATTTATGATGGCAAGTATGAATGTAGTTGTGGCATTTGTCTGCCAATGAAGCATGTCTGCTTCTTTGCTCATGGACTGCCATTCAGCAACTAGCTGCACTTTTATTTTCTGAGATTCTCAGACTCGTTTTATTTTTTTAAATTGAAAAGTTTGAAAAGGACAACTACTATTTAGGAGACATCCAGAAAGCAACTGACCTTCAGTTCTTGTCCTGTGCAGCTGAAAAGTTATTTTTAGTCCCTGAAGAGATTATGAATAATGTTTGTTTTATAGTGAAAATGTTACAGTGATATTTGCTTGTTCCTTCTTTGAATAGGCAAAACTCAGTCTAAAAGACCAGCAATGTTCAGTGTAATTTAACAGCTTTTTTCCCTGTAGTTTCTGTTTTCTTCTTTTTAAAATTAGAGTATTATTTCAACACACTATCTCAACTCTTAGCCATGTGGATACTTCATTCTGATGGGAATGTGAATTAAGCTAATTCTTATAAAAAAAAATGTTCTGTAGATAATGGAGGAGACTGGCTGAAGTTTGATATTTAGTGCCTCATTATTTCTAAAGTCCTGATAAATTCAATTTATTTTTTATCTTGAAATGTGTGGATAAATGTTATTTGTGGATAGGGCTGATCAACTGGTGCATACCAGCATTACAGTGGCATATCATCTTTAAATGTATTTTTAACACAAATTTACTACAATATATATTTTAAGCTTTATTTTCACGGCACAGAGATATTATTTTAAATATATTTTTTCAATTAACAGTTTCAATTGTTTATAGAGCTAACAATTATGGCACTGGAAACTGTATTATGAAAGTATCATTTTCCAAATTATATTTGTCTAACTTGAACATTTACCATGTTTGCTTTGATATGTCAAACTGGTAGGCTCTGGTTAATTCATCAAGGTGGGCTTGAAGCATTGGCTGCATTTCCTCTCGTGGGGAAGGTGTGAGAGTTGCAGTTGACTGCTGTCCAAAGGAGATTGCTGGTGAAGAGGCCACCCCTCGGACAGGTGGTGTAGGGACTCTGTCATCATCTTCTTCAAGCTCATCCTCCATGCCCTGGTGTAAGTAAGTCTGAACTGGTAAAGGAGGACACCAACCATCACTGTCATACCTGAAATCAAGATCATGTACATTTAGTATCTATATACTCAATATACTCCAGGAAAAGGTTGGCATCTTTATTATCACTCTGTATTAGTCACATTACCATAGATCGTAGGAGCTCTACTTATAGACTAGATCTCCATTGTGTTGGAAAAGGTGAGTTTTGAGGAGGCATTTGAAGATGCACAATGAGGTTGTTGTAGGGATAACATATTAATGTATTAAAAATGTGATTCCCCCAAATGGAAGTGACTCCCCATAATTTGTTCCCCACAACTTAAAGTGTTTAGATTTATTAGGATTCTTCTTCTTATTATTATTATTTGTTAAGATTGTTAAATGTTTAGATTGATGATTATTATTGCCCCTTTAGAATATAATGTATTAGGTAATGTAACTTAGAACTGTTAAAAATATAATCCTATGTAACCAGAAACAGCCCCCCCCTCTGTGCTCCAGGGCATGCTCAAGCTTGTGCAAGGGGCTGCTTGAAATTGACATTGCAGCGATACATTGTAACAATGCATTGTCAAGCCACTAACTCTGCTATGGGAGCCAAGCCCTGTAATTGACTAAGGCCATTGTTACTTAATTGAGGCCTGTTCTCTTTAAAACATTGTAACTTTATTCAGCACTCAGAGAATGTTTTAAGCAATACCACCCAGAAACTTTCTGTAACTACAACTCTGATATATGTAAAGTTATTATTACCAGAAACTTTTTGTAACTACAACTCTGATATATGTAAAGTTATTATTATACAAAAACATTGTATGGGAAACATTAAGGAATGTATGTAAAAGAGAGAGAGTGCTTGGATGATGAGTGAATGGTTCTAAGAGGGGCCAGCCTGAGAATACAGCAACAAAGGGCTGAAGAAGGCGTCAGGTGCCAGTGCAACCAAAAGGTGTCAAGTGGAGAAACTGGAGGTCCACCCGATGAGATCACTGATGAGCACCTGGCAGCCACCCTGGAGACATCAGCATGATACAGCAATTTCCATAGACTGGCATAGGAAGAAATTCCTATAAGAACTGGACTAAAAAACTATGGAATCAGAGTCCAAGGTTCTGCTGCCAGCCTACCAGGAGCTTCAGATGCGCATCTGATCAGGACTTCGCTCCCCACTACCATCACTTGTGTACAGAATACCTGGCCAGTATTCTGTCACAAGCAACTTCCAGGCTGGTAACTATAACAAATACACAGAACCT